TTACCAGCGGCCGAGGGAGCGGGGGCCCGGAGGAGGCGCCAGGCCGTGGGCGTTCCCCGTGCCGGTGACCCGTGGCGCGTGCTGCTACACATCCCGGCATGCCCCAGCCCGTCGCACGCCACGGAAGAGAGCAGCATGCTGGGAGCCGTAGTCTGGCCCTCGCCTCTGGCCCGGCATTGCTTGCCTCTGCAAAGCCCCTCGCCCCGACAGCCTTTGGCCGGCCTGCTCTTCTTGCCCTCGGGTAAACTCCACAGCTCCGCAGAGCCCCAGTCCTGCAGGCACCCCAGGGATCCTGGGTCCCCGATTGTTTTGGCAGGCACGGAGCCTGTCACAGGGAGGAGCGGGAAGCGGCAGTGCTCGCGAGTGGCGTGGGCTGCTGCCGGCGCTCTGCCGGCATCAGTGCAGGCAGGGGACGGCGTGTGGCTCATGTGGAACACGGGGATGGGATGTTCAAGTAGGAGGGCTGCAGTGTCCTGCTGCCCGTCCTGGTGCAAGCGGGGCAGCTTAAATGTTAATTTGGATGTAGAGGTCTCGCCGTATTAATGGCAGCAAGCACCAGATGATGCCGGGGAGGCAGCAGTTACATTGCCGTGTATCTGCTGGTGCATTTGGGGTGCTTATTGTGAGCTGGGGTAGGAACTGCCCTGCACAGATGTCCTCAAAATTCCCACCCTGGCAGAGCTGCATGCATGTGCAGGGATGTGTGTTACCAGAGCTGGCTGAGCATCCTCACCTCTCGGCTGCGAAGGTGGGGCTGGCATCGTGGAGGGGCCAGCAGGGACCGAGGGTCCCTGTGAGGCCACCCCAGGGAACAGGGTCTTCCTGGGTAGGGGGTGAGGCAGAGACCTGATTGTTCTCTTGCAGATGGAGGGCTCCGAGGAGCTGGAGAGCAGCCTCTTGACACAGCCCTGGGCTTCTGTTTGCTTTGGTGAGTCTGCTTTTCTTGCCAAAGCATGCTTCAGGGATACTGGTTACATCCTGCTGATCTCCGACCTCAGCAGTGTCTGGTACGAGAGTGCAGACGCCGAGGCCGTGGGACAAAGGTCCAAGGTGAGTGTCTGGAAAGTCCAGGGACCTCCTTTTCTCCTCGCAGCAGCTGACATCCCAGCATAAACTGCTTGGTGACACAATGGCTGTTGGATCTGACAGGGCTTGGGTGCAAACACCTGGCCTGGGAAGTCCCTGGGTGGCTCTGCCCAAGCACTGTCACCGCGGCTGGCCGAGCACCCACCTCCTGGGAGAGTGGGCCAGGATATTTAGCATGCCCAGGGCAGCCAGGTGTTCACTGGGGCTGCATGCTGAGGCCAGCACACTCGTTTCACTTGTGGGATGGATGGGCAGCTGGTTTCCCCAGGACCAGTGTACTAAGGGGGAGCTTGAAACAAGGCTGCTTTCCCACCAGTGACGGAGAGACTCCTGGTCACGTTCATAGCCAGGCACAGGCTCCCACGGGGTGTCCTGTCAGCACGGCCCCCCAAAACACATGGGGCCATGCCTCATCCCCTCACCTTAGCCCATGTGCCCAGGACCCCACGTGCCACCCCTGTCTGCCATGTCCCTCTGCCACGGATTGGCTGTGCCGAGCGGCTGGTGGCAGGAGGGGTGCACATGCGGTGGCAGCCATCCCCCAGCTCTGGCAGGTTAGATGAGCTGTGACAGCTCTCGGCCAGCCTGTGACACTCGTGGTGGCATGTGGGGCAGATGCGCTAGTGGAGACCATTGCACCCTGCCCACCACCCAGACCCTCCTGGGCTGGTGGGGCAGGGGAGCCTTCCCAGCTCAGCTGGCCTGGGAGAACCGGTGGGGAATGTCCTGTCGTAGGGCTGGAAGCCAAGGCCCAGGGATGGCTTTTTGCAGTGCTGGGACACACAGAAGTAGTTTGGCTCCTTCTGTGCTGGAGTTTCTGCTACTTTTTTCCCAGTGCTGAGCTCCCCGGAGTGTTACTGTACCCCTAACCTTGCCTTTCCCCAGGAGCTGAACAAGCGACTGACAGTCCACGTGTCTTCCTTCCTGCACCACTTGTGCAAGCTGATGTGCCCCTTGCTGGCAGGGCAGCCGGACGCCACCACCTCCTTCTCCTGCCACCACACTGCCGGCGGCCTCAGCCTGCACGTGAAGAGCGAGCTCTCGGGACTGCCCTTCTACTGGGACTTCCACTGCTGCCCTGCTCCTGTGGAGATGGTGAGCAAAGCTGCGGAGAGCTTGGGGAGAGGGATGGCCAAAATTAAGGGTTGTCTCCTAATGCTTGGAGGCTTTTGGGTGGTCTCGGGCCGTGCTGGTGGCTGTAGGGTGCCTGGCTCTGCCTGCTGCCCCTCCCCAGGTTCACTGTCCCCGTTTCTTCCCACTGAGGCTTTGGAACCTTGGTTGGTGCCTTGCAGGGAGGCAGGGACAGCCCAGCACACACTGCTACCAGGGCAGCAGGTAAATTTCCAGTTTGGGATGATGCCCTGCCAGCGCCCCACATAGCAGAGTGATGCTGTTCTCCTTTGGTGCACGCTGTGAAGCGGGGCAGAGTGGTGGGTACTCCCAAAGGACCCACAGGCAGTCTGTCACGACGGAGGGAATTAAAGTGGAGTCTCCCCGGCCTTTAAGGCGTTGCTCTTACCACGGGGCTGCCTAACATTTTGGGTTTTTGGAAGCAGCCCCTGGAGCCCGGTGTCGCAAGCTGAGCACCCGGGGGCAGCACCTCCGCCGGACC